ACGCGGGAACCGTATGTGTGACGAACAGGGCTTACTGACTCGCCGGTTCCCTCGCTCGCATTAACCGAGCTAACGAGCCCACCTGTCCCTACGTAGGATTTCAACGTCTTTTTGTCCGCACAGCTGAGGACACTTGGAAAAAATTGCCAAAATTCGAAAAAATTTTTTTTTCGACCGACCCCCAAAAAGTGGTACCACCTCGAAGGGTAAGGCGAGGCGAAACTGCGCATGTACGTTTCAGCTCGCTCGGGCCCAGTCTTGCGCGGCCACACTGCAAAAAGACCATTTTCTATGGGCAGGAGATCCCCTCAACGACCTTTAACAGAAAAACTATTGACGCCAGCAGCTAGATCTCATAACTTTTGATTGACATTTCACAGTTTACGCCCACTCGGCTCAATCCCCGCGCGGCCAGAGCCAAGAAACCACTCTCTCTATGCCCAGGAGACCCCTTAGACGACATTTCAAGAAAAAAATTTCTACCTCAACAGTTGTATATAATAACTCTCGACTGACATTTCGGGGTCTACGCCCCCTCAACCCAGTTCCCGCGCGGCCAGCGCCAGAAAACCGCTTCTTCCTGTCCCAGCAGAGCCTTTTAACGACCTTTTTCGACCTTTTTAATATCACCAGTAGGTAGCACCGGTCCATGTGAACTTCGTCCCGGAACATCAGTATCTCAGGTCCAGTCCCCGCGCGGCCAGCGCCAGAAAACCGCTTTTCGATAGGGGAGAAAGAGCCCTTTAGCGACCGTTTTCGACCTTTCTAACACCCCCAGCAGATAGCACGTGTCCATGTGAGCTTCGTCCCGGAAAATTAGCATCTCGAGTCCAATCCCCGCGCGGCCAGCGCCAAAAAACCGCTTTTCGAATGGGGAGAAGAGCCCTTTAGCGACCCTTTTCGACCTTTTGAACACCACCAGCAAATAGCACGTGTCCATGTGAGCTTCGTCCCGGAAAATCAGCATCTCGAGTCCAATCCCCGCGCGGCCAGCGCCAAAAAACCGCTTTTCGAATGGGGAGAAGAGCCCTTTAGCGACCGTTTTCGACCTTTTGAACACCACCAGCAGATAGCACGTGTCCATGTGAACTTCGTCCCGGAACATCAGCATCTCGAGTCCAATCCCCGCGCGGCCAGCGCCAAAAAACCGCTTTTCGAATGGGGAGAAGAGCCCTTTAGCGACCGTTTTAGACCTTTTTAACACCACCAGCAGGTAGCACGTGTCCATGTCAACTTTGTCCCGGAACATCAGCATCTCGGGTCCAATCTCCGCGCGGCCAGCGCCAAAAAACCGCTTTTCGAATAGGCAGAAGAGCCCTTTAGCGACCGTTTTCGACCTTTTGAACACCCCAGCAGATAGCACGTGTCCATGTCAACTTCGTCCCGGAACATCAGCATCTCGGGTTCAATCCCCGCGCGGCCAGCGCCAAAAAACCGCTTTTCGAATGGGGAGAAGAGCCCTCTAGCGACAGTGTTAGACCTTTCTAACACCCCCAGCAGGTAGCACGTGTCCATGTCAACTTCGTCCCGGAACATCAGCATCTCGGATCCAATCCCCGCGCGGCCAGCGCAAAAAAACCGCTTTTCGAATGGGAGAAGAGCCCTCTAGCGACCGTCTTAGACCTTTCTAACACCACCAGCAGGTAGCACGTGTCCATGTGAACTTCGTCCCGGAACATCAGCATCTCGGGTCCAATCCGCGCGGCCAATGGGGAGAAGAGCCCTCTAGCGACCGTTTTAGAAAACCACCAGCAGGTAGCACGTGTCCATGTGAACTTTCCCGGAACATCAGAATGGGGCCAGAAAAACCGAATGGGGAAGAAGAGCCCTCTAGCGACCGTTTTAGAGCCTTTTAACACCACCAGCAGGTAGCACGTGTCCATGTGAACTTCGTCCCGGAACATCAGCATCTCGGGTCCAATCCCCGCGCGGCCAGCGCCAAAAAACCGCTTTTCGAATGGGGAGAAGAGCCCTCTTGCGACCGTTTTAGACCTTTTTAACACCACCAGCAGGTAGCACGTGTCCATGTGAAGTTCGTCCCGGAACATCAGCATTTCGGGTCCAATCCCCGCGCGGCCAGCGCCAAAAAACCGCTTTTCGAATGGGGAGAAGAGCCCTCTTGCGACCGTTTTAGACCTTTTTAACACCACCAGCAGGTAGCACGTGTCCATGTGAAGTTCGTCCCGGAACATCAGCATCTCGGGTCCAATCCCCGCGCGGCCAGCGCCAAAAAACCGCTTTTCGAATGGGGAGAAGAGCCCTCTTGCGACCGTTTTAGACCTTTTTAACACCACCAGCAGGTAGCACGTGTCCATGTGAACTTTCCCCCGGAACATCAACATCTCGGGTCCAATCCCCGCGCGGCCAGCGCCAAAAACCGCTTTTCGATATGGGAGAAGAGCCCTCTAGCGACCGTTTTAGACCTTTTTAATACCACCAGCAGGTAGCACGTGTCCATGTGAACTTCGTCCCGGAACATCAGCATCTCGGGTCCAATTCC